TAAGCACAACTTAACCAAAGCGTTTTTTATTACTGCAGTACAAAAATGAATTAAACTGAGAAAAATTAAAGGTTAAAATTTCCTATGTTTGCAGAAAAGCCAGCCTACCAGGTGCTATCCATTTATTATCCTCAACAAAGAGCTTTAAGATAGCAACTGATTGTTTTAAGATAAGCTGCAATTTTTATTAAAGCCCTCTGAGGAACAATTAGGAGAAAACATTTGTAATGTGCAATTGATGTGCTGTACACCGTACAGTTAGACACAGGGAGATCCATTAATTATCCAACACCATCTAGAATATAAAACTCTATGTCTTGCTTTGCTTTACTTCTGCTCGGCTGAAAACGGGAAGAATAAGCTTTACTGCACTTTGTGATCCTGCAGAAGGGAATATTTAATATTCTCAGAGCATCATGTGGTTATACAGATGCATGAGATATTACAGCAAGAAAAAAAATTACATTATGTCTCTGGCACGTGAATGACAAAGAAAAAATCGCTTCCTACTCCAAAAGGGAAAATCACAGCATTACAGAATTTAAAACTTGAGGATGTCATTAGAACAGCCTCCTTGTCAGAAGGTGCCTAAGAATTCAGACTGTAGAAAAGCAATCATTTAGACTCGCTCGTCTCATAGTGCTGTCCCAAATCCCAACTCCGACACAGAGATGTGACTACACATTCCAGGGTCTCCTTTTTGTATAAACTGTAGTACCTAATTTTTCGTATCATTCATTCCAAGATGGAAATGCAGCTCAAAACACAGATTCAGAAACAGAAGTCCCTGGGCTTACATTCTGGCTCAAGAAACTCTTAGCTATGAGACCCTGAATCCAAATTTTTCGTGCCTTAACTCCTTCATGTGTTAACGAGATAATAATCCGTCTACCTCAGCGGGTTCTGAGGATAAAACTGCAACAGTGACTGATACACAGCAAATGCTTCCTATAAAACTTAAGCAATACAGTGCATCATAATTCATCAACTTCCCTGGGCCTGTTTTTTGCATTTTATTCTATTTATATTTTCACATGAAATCATTCCTCACAACCTGAAGTCAGATTTTCTTTCTTAACCCCTTCAAGCTCAATGCGTATGGTGGGTACTCAGCAAAACTATTTCAAACGAATGCACTTGGGTTCAGAAACCTTTGTATGTGTTTGTCAAAAGTGAGAAAAACATACTTTCTGCACAAAGAGGCAGGTTCACTATAAAAAGATCATAAAACATTTCAATGATACGGTTTAAGTCAGTAAGAGATAAACACTGTTTCAAATGGCCAAGAGCTAAGGGAGGGGGGCCCCAGGGCAAGGAAAACTGAGTGTGAGAGTTTTATGTGGACGCAACAGCATTAAAATGTAGCATGATATTTTCTTTAACTTTCTACTTGGCCCCAGGTTCAGGGAAAGAGAATTTGAAGCAGAAAGCAAACCTGTTATGCTGACAAATTTCAAGGTTGAGAAAAATCCAATCTTTCCTGGAAGAAAGAATTTTTAAATCAGTCAGTTGTTTTTAAAGAAATTTTGAAGAAAACTGCTCTAAGTCTATGAAAAGAATGGTGGTGAGACAAATACGAACACATTTTCTTTTTAAGTTAAAAGATATAGAGTCAGTTTAGGAGCAGGGCCATAGGATTACCTGAAGCTTTATACAGCAAACTTTTTTTTTAACTTATATATAATCCCAGAGTTACCCCTGAATCTTCTCTTTTTCACACCTACTGCATCCTGTACATCAGGAGGTCCTATTGGCTCGACCTAAAAATTTAGATATACAAATCTAAATTTCTATGCCCCGTAACATAACTTCAAAACATATAAAGAAGAAACAGAAAAAGATCATAAAAATAAATTCATAAATTACAACCCACTGGAGGATTTTAAAACACCCACCAGTAATTCAGATATTAATCAGTGGAAAAAATCAACATCATCAAAGAACTGAACTACAAAATCTAGAAAAACTTGAATTGACAAGAGTATGTTACTATACATGCATATGAATATCACACAGATAGAATAGAATGTACATTTATATCAACTACAGACTTTATGAAATAACCACATAATGATGTGTAATGATAGAAATTTAAGCCATGGGCATGGACAGACTCGTCCCTTACATACACAGGTAATGGGAGAAAAGGAAAAATTTTAGACAGAACCCTGAGTATGGAGCTGAGTGCAGCAGCAAATGCTTGCTTCTTTCCAAATCTAGTTCCTTAGGCTTAACTTCTTTTTATTTTTTTCAGCTTCAACTGAAAACATCCATCTGGATTTCTATCGGTGCATCAAGGAAATTATTTCCCAAATTTAATTATCTTATGTACCAAACGCATCCTCTTCCTTTGTGCCCTAGTTCAGAGGCTGAAATCTCTATAGGCCACATGACAGAGGCTCTCTTGCCTCTGGCTTCCTGTTGGGTTTGATCAATAAGAGTCTCTGAAGGGAGATGAGATCAAAGGGTGGGAAGATGAGGGGTCGGGGCGCTTACCGACCCACATCGCATCCCACCCCCAGTTGCATTCTGGCAGAGGCTGCTGCTTCCCCACTAAGGACCAGAGCAGCCTCAGCCGCGGCTGGTGGCCGGCTGCCTTGTGAGCCCTCGCTGGCTCCCGCTGCGCTGAGTCCACCGTGGTACGTAGCTCTTTATTAAATCATTACTCGGTAAACCCTTTTAAGTGTGCTGTTTCCTGCTGGGGGACTGAGCGATCCCTCACCCATAGATTCCAAACTCAACTCTTAGACGAATGCAAACGTAATCATGTACCCCTAATAAACCAGCCAATCTTCAAAAATACAAATACAATATGCGTTGAAAGACAGGGGGTTTTCCTCACAGAGGAGTATAAATAATTCAGAAATCACCATCCATTCCTGAATAAGCAAGTGCTCGGCTGCACAATGTGATTTATATTCCCTTGATTTTTTTTTTATACAAGCTTCACTAGTATAGAGTTTCCTGGCCTCTTTTATGTGAAGTCTGTTTAACAAACAGATACAATAGTAAAATAGTCTCCTGGCATTTACAATACTTTCATTTTACCTCTAAAGGATGTGTATCTTTGAATAGCAACTGTAAACACCAAAGCTATTTCCCGTGGGGTTTTCTTTCTTTTAAGCAACTCCCTCAACTTTCTATTCTTTCTGTTGTTCACTTCTCTTGCTCAGTGGGAAATATTCAATGCCATTTCTTTCTGAGAAATAATTTATCTCCACTTTGCTGTCAGGACCCTTATTATCTGTGGATTAAAACCCATGCCTCCCATAAATCAACTTGATTTAAACTTCATCTCTGTCTCCCTTTGCTTCCCCTCTCATTCTTTCTCTAATCTTCCTCTCTCCATGCTCTTACCTCCTTTTGACTATTCATGGGACGGATATTTAGTCTGGCCATAAAGTTATGTGGTAAGGATGTTTTTTCCAAGTGATTTACCTCAGCCATTCAGTGTAACATCCCTGAAGTTCTAACAAGGCCGTTCCTCAAAGACTAGCTCACCAGCTAGGTGGTAGCTCCAGCAATAGAAATGTGACAGGTAAATTGTATACAATCCTTGAAACCCTAAAGCAATTTGTTTCTGTTCCTTTGGGAGGTGAGGATAATCAGAGCGGTTTTTGGAGATGCAGGCAGGTTGACTCTGATTATAACCTGCCAATAGGAAAATGCTGAAAGACCAGAACTGGGTGAGCCCAGTAGGCTGACCCCCGGTCCCAGCAAAACAGGAGAAACCTGGAGAAAGACTGGGAGCATACAAAGGTGTTACCCTATGTTACTAGGCAATATCCATAATGCTGAGTGCACAGAAGGTCACTGTTAAAAGCACCACACCTGAGAATGTAACGTCAAACAGATGAACATTCTACCAAAACTCACAATTCTTCTGTCAGTTTAATATTCCAGGAAGACACAATGGATTACTTCTATTGCCTGGGCATTTAACAGTAATGCGATACACGATCAAAACAAATTCTAGTGCTTTAGAGCCCAAGCCTTTGCTGAAATGATCAGTCCTTTAGAGCCATGGGAAAAAAAAAATATACTCTGGAGAATGCCATCTTATATACCAGACTCCTTGTAACCAAAGGCTTTGTGGTACCCTCAGGCTTAATCACTGACTCTGTTAAAAATGATTTCTACTTCTAAGTGATTTTTCATCTCAAGATTTCAAAGGACACTTTTAACAACAGAATGAAGTAGAAACGCTCAGCTAAAGAAAGTCCTGTTTGTAGCATTTAACTAACGGTCTTATACTGCTGTCTGTTTTCTGAGCAGAGTTCGAATTTTTTTTCTTTTTCTTTTTTTTTTTACATAACCAAACTCAGCTGTCTTATATCTTTCTGATTTCCACTGCAACCACTGCAGCCTTGGAGAGTACAACCAAAAAGATGGACCTTATCAATAGCAGGTTCGATACCCACTAGAGAATCAGCAGAAGCAAAGCTGCCTTCATCTCACCCTACGAAGCCCTCCAGCCCCTGAAGAGTCTCAGGACACTTCATCTACTCTCCTGGGTGGATGCTAAATTCTTTCACTGTTGCCCATGTAGGATGACATCCTCTCCCTGAATCCCTGAACCCTAAACTCTGCTGCTCTGGGACGGTTTCAGCATGATAGGCACTGGCATGGGCATGGCTTCAGTCTATGTAATGACCCACTGAAGGCATTCATGTGATTTCTTCAAGGTCTTTTTCTGTCCATATACCATTTTTTTCTTCCCTTTACCACCTACTTTATTCCAGCTGAGGTGTCTTGAGAGTCTAACAGATTTTGTTACAAGTTCACAAAATAATCTCTCAGTTTCTTGAAGTGATAAAGGTACAGCTCTTTTTACTCGCTCTTCCAGCTCCCAGGCACATAGGAACCACAGACAGATATACAAGGGTTGGGTCAAAGATCAAAGCATAGTGGCTCTTTCAAAAGTGCCCTTTCCTACTTGTAATCAGCGAGTCATTCTAGGCAGAACTCTTCTCTATTCAATAGCCTTATGGTGATGACTAAGACAAAAACATGGAGCTAACATATAGTAAATATATGATAAATATTATTATTATGATCTTATCATAGCTTGTTATAAGAAGAAGAACATTGGATCCAATCATGATTTTAGTTCCACTTCCTGCGAATCACATACAAGCCTCTTAACCTCTGTTTGGCCACCGTGAGCCAAGTCAAGCTTCACCTACACAGACACTAGTAAAGTCTAGTCACAAGTGATGTTCACGTATCTTTTTCCTACCCCAAAATCATAACTTTGGGAGTATGCATAGGCTCATTTGAGATCTCTTTTTTTCTATGTTCTAGGCACTGTCTTAAAAGATTTACATCTATTACTGCATCCAATCCTCACAACATCTCTGTGATATATTTTTTATCTGTCACATTTTGCAGAAAAATAAACCAAGGAGGTTTAAAAATTCATCCAAGTAGCTACAACTAGCTAGTGGTAAAGGAGGACCCAGGGAGACCAGATGACCCACTAATGAAAGGCAGAACCCAATGGAAAACTCAAGTTCTTGACTTGCTGACTAGTGTCACCACAGCTGGTGACAACAGTGGGCTCAAATAAATATCCAGTCCCTCAACAGACTCACAAATTTAAAATCTCCAAAGAGCATTCCTGGCATTGATTGGAGGTGGCACTTCAGCACGGAGAATGCACTGTCTTTCTTCTCTGGAGGCTGAGCGCCCTGAAGTATGAGAACCATCAACAAAGTGTGCCCGGTGAACCCGCGTGCTTCTGCCCCAAACTGCACTGTCCCCGGGCCCCCAGGAAAAGCACCCCGCCCACCCTGCTGACAAACGTGTAACCTTCCGCCTCGTCTAATAAGCATGTATCCGATCATTTTAAATTTTTCAAGGGAGAAAAATGCAGGGTTTAATTTAACCTGTGAGAGCACGGCCACCCCGCGTTTACTCTGGAATCGCAGAATTAGCTCATCCACCCTGGCCAGCACGCCCAGGGGCAGGCTGGATGGGCAGTAACGTCAACCTGCCACCCGAAGTTGAACGTGTCCCGTGATCCGCGACGCCTTGCCGTCGGTGGAGGGTAAACCGCAGGGAGATGGGGGCGAGCTCCTCAGCTCTGGGGCTGGGGTTTGTGACCTCAACTCAGAAGCGAGTTCTGCTCCACACAGCCTGGGATGCCCCGCTCTCTCGCTAGTGCTCCGGGGAGGCTTCATGGAGCCCGAGGTAAACAATCACAAGCAGGCACGGAGCACCTGGCCCGGCGACCCCTCCTGTGCAGGAAGAGCTCGGGCTTGTCCCTCCCTGACACACCTTCCAAATCCAGTGCCAGGGCCGGGGGGCGGGGCGGGGGTCTCCACACCTGACTCCCCCGTCCACTGGGGATGCGCGCTGAGTGGAAGGAGGCTGCACAGAGGAAGAAGCAATACAGAAGCGTGGGTGCTGAGTAGGGATAAGAGGGGACTTTTATCTGCCCTTCCTGAGATGGTTGTAACTCTCTTCACCCAGCAGCAGGCCGTGGGTTTGAGAAGAAAAGGAGAGAGGGGGGCTCCTGAGTACATGAAATATACTCATGCCACCAAAATTCACCCTTAGCGCTGACAACAGCAGCCCGTGATTTAGGTAGGAAACCGCTCCCGGCGCCTACGCTGTTGGCTCAGAGGCACTGACGAGGCTACACGCCAGAGGGAAGACACAAAACAGGTACGATACTTGTTCCCCTTACGAAATCAAAAGCCTTGTCCTTTCATGGTATTATTCTGCATGCTCATAAACATGGATATGAATATATAACACAAAATAATGACTTCCAAAATGTGGCTGCTTGTATGGCATGTTATAATGAACATTTGTCATTTTTGGATGTCTATCATGCAAGCATTTTTTTCTACTTCAGGGGGATCTGGAAGTGGAGGTGGGGTTCCATCTCTCACTATCTAAAAAAAAGAGTGTAAATTGTCTTTCCTAGCCCTCTGGCAGTTGGGGTATAGGTGTCAGGTATAACATTAGCCAGCAGAGGTCCCAACTGAATTTTTGAATCTTTGAACCTTGAGAAAGTAATACAAAAAATTTCAGAGAAAATTAAAGCCTCCAAAAACACTAGAAAACAGAATCTACAATATATAAAAGGAATTGTATGACCATAACCAAGTAGCTTAACATCCGAACATCAATCAATGCAACACATTGTATCAGTAGAATAAAGAACAGAAACCATGTAATCATCTCAACAGGTGCCAAAAAAAAAAAAGCATTTTACAAAATTCAATACCACATCATGACAAAAACACTCAACAAACTAGGGATAGAACGAAACTTTCTCAAACTGATAAATAGTATCATTGAAAAACTAAGCTCGCATCACACTTAATAGTGAAAGAATGCTTTTTCCTTAAGATGAAGAACAAGATGAGGGGGGAGGGTGTAGCTCAGTGGCAGAGCATGTACTCAGTATGCACGAGGTCCTGGGTTCAACCTCCAGTACCTCCCCCAAGGATAAATAAATAAACCTAATTATCTACTCCCACCAGAAAAAAAGGGCAAATTTTAAAATTTCATTTAAGATAGCATTCTAAAAATAGAATACTTAAGAGCAAATTTATACAAACTACAAAAAAGTGGTTGAAAGAAATTACAGAGAGAATGTGTTTATTCAGAGCAGCGGCGGTGAAGTCAAGAGTCAAGCACTAGCAGAGAGTCTGAGGATGAAGACGCTGATAACAAGAGGGTCTGGTGTCCTGGAGGCCAGCCCAGTGAGGACGGAGCAGGGGACTGCTCCTATTCGCAGGATGGGATTTCTAGTTGGGACATGACTCCAAATTTGGGCCCACTTTCTGAGTCTATTTCCCTTAAATTCAGAGAACTGTGTGTTATTCTTTCAATAAATTCCAATCAGTCAGCATTGGTTCCTATTTTTTTATAACCAAGAACTCTGACTGGTACAGGTACCATTGCTGCTTAGTCTTTCTCC